CCCTTTACTAGCGGTGTGACCTGGAGCGGTTCCATCTCCTGCCCTTCTTCATGTGGAACCGCCGGCTTCCTCCAGGTCCCCATGGTGCCCGGGCTCCGCTGCCACGTCAGTCCCCCACCCCTTCTCCCCAGGAGCCCAAGGGCCTGCAGAAGGAGCAAGGTGGGGCAGGTCCCTCCTGGACACAGCCGGTGGCTCCTGCGCCCTCGGGGTCAGTGCCAAGTCCTCCCTGCAGCCTCAGGGCCCCGCACGACCTGCCCTGCCCCCCCATCCCAGCCCAGGCTCCTCCTCGCTGTGCCCCCAACAGGCCAGGCGCACGCTGCCCCAGGGCCTTTGCACAGTGTGCCCTCTGCCTGGAGTGTGTTCCTGTCACCTCAGGTCTCAGCGCAGGTGTCCCCTCCTCAGGGAAGCCATCCCACGTCACCCAGAACCCCAGCCCTTCCTCCCCGTCTGGGTCCTCTTCCCGTCTCCCAGAGCACAGTGCTCGGGGCCTCGTGACAGTGGGACCCGGGACACGGTACTCAGCACGTGTTGACCCACGAGGAGCAGGAAACAAAACCGGGGCGTGGCGCGCCTGACCCCGGACACGTGGGCACAGGCCCGGTCACACTCGGAGAGACGGCGGCTGCCAGGGGTCCCTGAGGTCAGGAGGAGCCCCATGTCCCTCTGAGCCCGACTCCCCCAGAACCCCCAGCGCCCGGGCCAGGAGGCCGCAGCTGTCCAGGCCCCACGGCACCTCCCGGAGAGGGACCTGCAGGCCAGAGAGGGTGGGCGCTGCCCCCAGGGCACACAGCAAGCCTGGCGGCCCTGGGGTGCCGGGTCCAGCCCCGCGTGAGAGCACTGCAGATGGCCGCCGCTCCCCGAGGCTGGAAGAAGTGATGGACAGAGGGACAGGGGAGGGCATGGGGCTTCCAGAGCCCCAGACGCAGGACGTCCAGCCAGGCCCGGTCCCATCTCTCTTCTGGGGTCGCCCCGGAATGGCTTCTGCTCCATCCGGCTGGGTGCCCGCTCAGAGCATGTGGCCTTACCCCCGGAAGCTTCCAGAAGGAGCCAAGTGTGGGGTGTGCCTGGCCCCTCCCTGAGTGACCCAGGTGCCCGCTGAGCGCCGCCTTTCCCTGGACCTTGCCCACCCTCCAGGCCAGACTGAGAGGCGTCCCCCCACCGGCTCTCGGGACACGGGACACAGAGATGGGCGCGTCTTGGCCAGGGTCACACAGCACCCTGGCCCGCGGCTCCCTCCCCGAGCCTGGGTGCTGCCGGGCTCCCTGGGCCTCGCTGCCACAGGACTCCCTGGCTCAGGCCCCAGGACAGCGGGGGTCTCCCCCAAGTCCCTGCAGGTGGCCAGGTCGGCAGGAGGCTGCCCGGGCGCCCTTGGTGACACCAGCGGGCGGGTGTGGGCCCCAGGTGCCAGGGCAGCTGGGACACACTTCCAGGGGTGAGGGGCCAAAACCACCTCCCTCTGCCTGTGTCCCCTCCTGGCCACTCTGCCCTGCCCCGCCACCCCGCAGAGCCCCAGCCCGGGCAGGAGACCCGGGGGTCCGAGCCGCCGCCACTCACCATCCACCACATCTTGGCCGTCATGTCGTAGCACAGCTGCCACTTGACCGCGCTGTCCCCCGGCCGGCTGGACCCCGGGGGCCCCGGCACCTCCATCCTGGGCGGGCGGCGGGGGGCCCCTGTCGCCTTATTCAGACAGAGCTGCAGGCTGCGCGGGCCGCCGGGCACCCAGGGGCGGGCACCCGGCCTCCATGTGCCCCTCAGGAGGCTGGAGGAGGTGCCCGGGCCAGGAGGGCAGCGGCAGGGCGGGCGCTGGCCCCAGGCCCGTCTCACCAAGTGGCCACCCACAGCCCCAGGAGCCCAGTGCAGGGCGGGCGCGCGTGCCCGGGCGCAGCTGGCACGGCGGCCCCAGTGTGGGCTTGTGGACGAGGCTCGGCTCTGATTGGAGACCCCCCACCCCCGGAAGCAGCCAGCGCTCCCGCCCGCGGCCGGCTGCCGCCAAGGACCACAGGGCGGGTGGGCGGAGGGAGCGGGCAGGCGGCCGGGGCGCTGCCACCCCACGGCCTCCTGGGCCAGGGCAGGACCCCAGGTTCATGAGGGACCGCGGGGAGTCTGGAGAGGGCACCCCAGGCGCTGCCCCGCAGGAGGACGGGGGGAGCCCTGTTTCGGGGGCAGAGCCCTACCAGGGACCCAGCTGGGTCAGTGGCCCGGGCTCCTTGGGGCTCCTGCCTCCCCACAGGAGCAGCCCCGGGAAGGGTGGGCAGAGACGCAGACCCCACGAAGGAGCCCCCCTCATCTGTTTTTCTTCTCCCGACTTCTGAGACCAGCAGGGGCCTTTGATTTCATTATTTAGTCATCGTGGTGCATTTGTGGACACCGAGCCTGTGTCCAAACTGGACAAGGGGCCCGTCACTGATCTGCATTGGCTGGATGACCTGGCCCTACACTGACAGCAGGCAGGACTAAAGGGAGACAGCAGGCAGGACTTCCCTGGGGAGGAAGTGCCCCTTGGCTGGGAAGCGGCTGGGAAGGCATCAGGCTGGACCTCCTTGGTCTCTGCCTTTCCATATGGTGCTGGGGCCTCTGAGGGGTGGACGGAGGGAACCAGATGTGTTCGGTGGCAGGTACAGGGCACCACTGGGGACCGAGGTGCATCCCAGGGATTTGCAGGCAAAGCGGGTGGCACACTGGGGACAGGGGACTCTGGCCTCGTCCCTCTGCTCAGCCCTGGGCCCTTCAGGAGGCCTCCTAGGCTGCAGCGCTGTCCCTGCCCTCCTCCCTGCACCCCTCATGGTCCCCCACTCCCCGCGGCTGGCTCCCAGCTCCTGGCTTCCTGGTGGCAGAGGGCACCCTGGGACTCGAGGCCTTGGCGGAAGCCCGCCCTCTGCCCTGGACACCGTGGTCCTGGTGTCAGCTCCTACGCACCCTTCAAAACCCAGTCCTCATGCTCCCCAAGAGAGGTGGACAGAACCGGGGGAAACAGATGCAGTCGGAGAGACAGGGACGAGGGACAGAGACGGAGGGACAGAGGGACAGATGGTGGGAAAGCCCAGAGACAGGAGGAGAGGCCCTCAGCGCACTGCCCGCCGCCGGATCTCTCCCTGAGCCCCACTGGACGGCCTGCAGAGCCCCTGCCCCAGCCTGGGCCCTGGGGGCTCAGGGTCCTCCCCCAGCGTCAGGGACTGCGAGGGCCACGCCCAGGGCTGTGCGGTGCACCAGTGGACACAGCGGCCATTGAGGAAGGGCGGGAGGGAGCAGCCAGCCCTGACGAGAGCCACCGGAGCCAGCACTGCCACTGTCCCCCGCACGGACAGGAAGAGCAGCCCAGGGCCAGGCGCGGCCCCCGGTGCGGCTGGGGTCCTCCCTCTGAGCTTTGCTCGGGGCTGGGAGTTAGCCTCATGACGTCGGCCATTGATCCAGGAGGTCAGGGCTGTCCTTGTCCCCATTTCAGAGAAGGGAACTGAGGCTCAGAGAGGGGAGGTGACCCGCCCAGAGCTGCACAGGGCTCTAGGGGAGCTGGTGTCCACCTCCTCAGCAGGCCCCTGGGTTTCCCCTGGTGGACGGGCTGCGGGCAGGGGGTTTCTGTCCGTCGCTGCTGCCCCCGGGGCCTGGGGCGACCCTCTGAGGGGGCGAGGAGGAGGGAAGCAGCCGCCTCCGAGGTTTTGCAAACCGGGCGGTTCCCGCTGATCCCCACCAAGACCGGGTCCGGTCAGCGGTGGGGCGGGGGGCGGGGCCTCGGCTGGCCACGCCCCGCCGGCGGCCTCCGCTCGCCCACGTGGAGGCCCTGCCCGTAGCTATAATTTGCCTCGGTACCTTGTGGTCGCAGGAGGCAATTACCCACAGATGTGCGGTTGGCGGGAGGCCTTCAGCCGGCGCGGGTCAGAGCCGGGCCTTGGGGGGAGCAGAGGTGGAGGTGGCCTTGGAGCAGGGCGGGCGGGAGGCCGCAGGACGGAGGAGAGACGCTGGAGAGAGGGGAGCAGAGCGCCGTCACTGCTCGGCCACTTGTCCACGCCAGGGAAGGGGCCCACGAGGCCTCGCCCAGTGACTGAACCTGCCCACAGCGGGGCCAGGGCGCTTGTGGGGGCTCCCACCCCACCCCACTTCCTGTCCCCCAATACCCAGAGCAGAGGGGCCAGGTCCTCAGGCCTCTGCCCGCTGCGTGCCTCCGTTTCCCCGCAACCTCTCTGGGCTCTCCTGCCCACACCGCGCCACCTCGTTCATCTGCGTCCACGGGTCATGGACGCTTTCCTTCCAGCCCAGCCATTTGTTAAAAGGACTCAAATGGGCTTCAGGAGAAGGTCTAACCGGCCGCCGAGAGCAAGGTGCGGGAGCCTGCTCAGCCCCCACTGCGCAGAGCTGCAGAGCCGGCCGCTGCCTCTTTCTCTGTGGAGGGACAGTGGCATCAGAGGGGTGTTGAGCGAGGAGCCCCAGAGCCCGGGCGGACCTGCGCCGGGAGCTGGGAGGGCCGGGCCACAAAGCAGAAACTTGTTATGATTGTTGGGGAGCCGGGGAACGGGCAGGGCTCTAGCACCCAGCTGCACGCGCAGCCCGATGGACGTTCTTGAAGGCAGAAGAGGGGTTAAAAAACCAAAAACAAGCAGGGGGTGCGGGGACAGAGGGAGCAGCCGTGTGGACAGCAGGCGATGGAGAGGGTCCTGTGCTGAGCGGGCGGCTCCACCGAAGCCCACACCTGGGAGGCGGCGGAAACGGCTGAGGAAAGGGAATTGAGGGAGTTCGTGACCAGCAAGCTCCATGGTTTGGATCTTGAGCGTCCCCAAAGGCCCGTGTACTGGAGGCCTGGGCCCCAGGTGGCGGTTTTGGGAGGGATGGAGCCTTCAGGAGGCAAGGCCCTTAAGGGGATCGTGGACCCTGTCTCTTCCTCTCTCTTTTGTGTCCTGGTCTGCTCTCCAGAGTGCTCCCCGCGTGCTCCTCCAGGATGGGCTGCCTCACCACAGGCCAAAGCCACAGGCCGGCTGACCACGGGATGGAAATATCCAAGACCACAGTGAAAATAAACCTTTTCTCTTTATGAGCTGCTTTTTTTCAGGTACTTGTTACAGTAACAGAAAGCTGACTGATGCAGGGTTCAAGGTTGAGGGAATCAACATGCTGAGCTGTCAACTTCTCCCCAAACTGACCCATGAATTCAATGCAACTCTGATTAAAGGCTCAGCTCCGCGGAGAGCGCTCGCTCAGCACGTGTTGGGCTTGGGTTCCACCCCAGAACCAGAAAAAAGAACAAAATGGGAAGAGTCACCCTCCCTTATTCCATACTGACCCCCAGTAACGCAGACCAAGAGCCTGGCCCCTGTGCATGCCGGGGCAGGGTCAGCGGGGGCCTGCAAACGTGGCCCCTGCCTGTCTCTGTGAGCACAGTGTCACTGGGACGCAGTGTGGCCGCGCACTTGCCCTCCACAGCCGGCAGCTTTCAGGGCCCAGTGGGAGAGCGGCCCAGCGGCTGTGGCCTGCCCAGGAGGCTTCCTGTCTGCCTTCCGTCAGCTCTTAATCTAGACAACGTGGCAGGGACCAAAGGATGGACAGAACCGAGTCGGGAACAGGCACGGCCAGCATATGCCCCTGCAGTGGCCAGTGAATCAAGGAGGGCGGAGGGCTTCAACTCGCAGGCCTGGCCAGCCACGCACAGCCTCGCCTCACACCGACGGCCACCTGGAAATGGATCGCAGACCTAAAGACAGACAAACCACGGAACGTTACAGGGGAAAAGTCTCAGCCCGTGAAAGAAGAACGTGATGGACCAGGCTCTGTCAAGATCAGGAATTCCGCCCTGTGAAAGAGGCCGTCGACAGAGTGAGACCACAGCTAACTCGAGACTCACGAGGGAGGAGCGAGCCAGGTAAGGTGACCAGGTGAGCCAAGGGAGCAGACGGAACTCCCAGGAGAGGGGCAGTGTGTCCCCAGCAGGGAGGAGGATCCACAGCGCGACATCACACGCGTGTATCTGAATGGCTAAAGTAAAACTTAAGACCCGGCAATGCCGAGCGCTGGTGAGGGCGTCGAGCTGTTGGGACCCTTCCACGTCGCAGCATGGTACCGTCCTGGGCAAGGGCTTGGCCACAGGCCTCACCCCGGCTCCGGCCCTGCCTGCTGCGTTTAAGGCCTCCTCTGACCCTTGACCCCCACCCCCACCCTCTACAGCCCTGCGCAGGAGCCTCCTCCCCCTGGGGACTCCTCTGGTAGGGACTCAGCTCTGTGACGGCTGCTGGGTCTGTCCAGCGGGGCAAGTTGCTCCCATGTTTGGGTCTTGTCTCCCCATCTGCACAGGGGACTCCATGATGTGCCCTTTGCAGATTTTGTTGTGAGAGCCAGTGGGTCATCAGACGTCCCCCAATTTTTCCAAAAATGACAAGAAAAACACCTATCATGAATGCTCCAAATATATTCACTGATGGGTCAAATAATGGTACAGCAGCAGTAGTTACCCCTGATCAAACTTTTACATTTTTAGTACCCAAACAATCAGCTCAAAAGGTAGAGCTTAATGCAGTTTTACAAGCTTTTGTGATGTTTAAAGATTCTGTATTTAATTTATTTTCTGATAGTCAGTATGTAGTTAATGCTATAGTATCACTTGAAGATGCTGGTAGGATTTCCCCTTCTTCTACTGTTTTCTCTTTGCTTTCCACTATACAAAGTCTAATCTGGGACAGAAAAGATCCATTCTTTATAGGACATATCAGGGGGAGAGAGAGGCTTGTGGAAAGCCGGTGGTGGCAGTTGAGGCTCTGAGGGTTTTTCCTGAGAGGCTGTTTTGTTTGGCGTGTGTGGTTCTAAAAATAAAGTTAGTTTCTTTTGACAAGTGGCTCCTGATTGTGCCCAGCCAGACTGCGGCATTTGGTGGCCTGTACGGGGAACGAACCCGCGACCTTGGCGTTATCAGCAGCCAATGCTGTGCGCGGTGACCTTCATTCACCCCCTCATTTATTCGTTTGTCAGACTTTTACTGGGCACCTACTGTATGCCAGTCTGTGCACTGAGCACTAGGGACATAACAGGACCCAAAACAGACCCCCCTCCTGCCCTTGGGGAACTTAGGTCGTTGGGGGATGGACACGCAGTCATGCTTACCTGAGGCCTGTGATAGGTTCCGCTACGGGTGGAGAGCAGGACAGTGGAGCCGGCTGTCCAGGTGAGCTGGGCAGGACCGGGCGTAATGAGGGTGAAGAGCTCAGCTGGAGCTGACCGAGGAGGAGGAGGGTCCAGGGGTCGGCCTAGCACTGATGTCCTGAGAAGCGCCTACTCCGAGAAGTCGGGTGGGTTCATGGATTGGCGACTGAACTCCTGTGATACGGTGATGAAGGGGGAACATCGGACCTAGAAAGACCAGGCCTGCACCCCCGTGGACTGGCTTCTAAGGGAAGCAAGACTGGAAAGCTCCCTCCACTCCCACCCACCCGCCCGCACGGCACGGGTCCCTCTGTCCAGGGCTCGGAGCTGTCCGGGACCCCCGGTGCTGAAGTCCAGGCTGGGGCAAAGTGCCTGCCGGGGCAGCGCGGCTCGACTCGCATCCCTGGATCGCACCCAGGATGGCAAAACTGTTCAAGCGTCATTGCTCTGCGCTGGTTTCCGTGCCTGTACCCCAACCCGCCTCTTGGAGCTGTGCAAGCTGAGGCCACCGAGAATCCGGAGACTCCTGTCCAGCCTCCTGTTTGAGAAGTTACTGCGCCTTTAAGAATCGCTTTAGGCGTCACTCCTGGCATCACCGTCACCGGGGCTCTGAAGGGTTCAGGCTGTGGATTGGCTGACGGCTCATGAATATGTAGATCACACGGGGTGGGGCAGGGAGGGGGCTGGAGGCGGGGCGCGCAGGCCTGGCGCTGGGGGCGTGGTCAGGGGCGTGGTCAGGGGGTTTTGTACATTTTGTTCCCTGCAGGACCTACAAGAGCCCTAGCGCACGGTCGGTGGTTAATGAATGCGTACTGACACTTGAGTTCAGCAGGAGTAATGTCCCAGAATTCACTTCTGACGCGAGGAGGCCCTATTTTTACCCTATAATATTTAAGGCTGTTATTCGCGGCGTTCCTTGTGATCTGCCCTAATTCTGGACGTGCACTGTCACGAGCCCCGTTCTACAGACGGGAACCAGGCAGGAAGGTCCAAGGGCACAAAGACCAGGTCGCTCAGCAGATCTGGAGGCCGGGCCTCCGGTGCTGTTTCTTACTCCGGCCCCCGCGTGCCCGGCTTCCAGGCTCTGTGCAGCCCAAAGGCGAACCAGGGCCTAGGAAATGCCTACCTGTTGGCCGAGGTCGTCCCTGTGCCTGGAAGGCCACTCCGTCTGTTATGGTCCACCATCTAGGAGCCGCAGGGGGGAAGCGAAGGGCTCCTGGCCGCGGGAGGGAGAGGACGGGCGCAACGGGTGGGGACGCGGCGCCCACGCTGTAGGCTTCAGGGGATGCGCAAAAAAGTTTGGACGAGGTAGCTTTTGCCACCCAGGACAGAAGCCAGGCAGAGTCACCCGCGGCGCTGGCCCTCCGCACAGATGCCTCTCTGGACGCCGCGTAGGTCTCTGCTGCCCCCTGCTGGTGGTCCAAGCGAAGCCTCGGGAGAGTGAATTTTGAAGGAACTTCCCGGCTCCCCAGGACGGGTCCATACCGGGGAGGGCTTCATGTTAACCGGTTCGCCTCGTTTCCAGAGGGAAACAGCTCAGACGACTTCGCTGCTTGTCCAAGCTGCTGCCAAGCGTCAAATCGGACTCGAACCCGGAACTGCCTGGTCTGGACGTGAGCGCTGTGCCTTTGGTGCATGTGGCGGGCTGGGGCAGCTGGGCTCCGGGGTGGAGGTCAGTGCCGCGGCCCTCCAGCGCCGCTCTGGCCTGCCTGAGGACCAGCGGGCCAGCTCTGCAGCCTGAGCCCTCCATTCTCTGTCGCCCCCACCTGTGATCTAGGTCCCAAGTTGCCACAGCCATTGCGAGGACACCCCGAGGCTCTTGGGTCTGGGTGGAACCAGCCCTTACCTGCTGCCCGCCTCCCTCACATTCCCTGCTCCACAGACCTTCAGTGCAAACAGGGAATCTGGACACACCAAGGGTTAAAGTCCCCAGCTGCCCCAGGTGACCCAGGTGACCGCCACCTGTGCCTCTGTCCCAGAAGCCGAGGGTACACAGAGATTCCTGTCCCAGGTGAGGTCTCCCTGGTGTGTGGCTCCGGTGGCCTCTGACCCCCTCCAGGCGAAACACCCTGCCCACCTCAGTTTCCGTGGCGGGCATCCTCTCTCCTCGAACCCCCCACTGTGGGGGGAGAAGGCTGCCATGTGGTGGGGAAGCCCAAGCAGCACCATGGAGCCTCCTGTGATGAGGCGCCTGCCCTCTGCCCACAGCCGTATGCGGGAGGCAGCTGGGCAGCAGCTGTCCCAGTCCCAGGCACCTGCAGGTGAGGAGGTCTTGGGTGACCTGAGAGGCCCCAAGTCACTTGGCTGAGCCCTCCTGGGACTCCTGACCCACAAAAGTGTGCGGGTCAGACAATGAATGTGTGCTGTTTTAAGCTGTTAGATTTGCAGGGGTGACCTGTGACACAGTGACAGCTAGCTGGCCTGTGTTGTGCCATGTAGCCTGTCCCCCAGAAGGACACGTGAAAATTTCCCCTTTGAATTAGCTCTGCCTTTAGCCAGGAAAGATGTCACCAGCCTGCGGTGGCTGGTTGGGGCTGCTTTCTCGGGTGAGGTCTTGGCTCCTTTGGGGTGAAGCGGGCTCTTCACTGCTGACTAGTTGATTCCCAAGTCGCCAGACGGTTCCCATGTCCCCTGGGGTTCCTGAACCTGGGCCTGGTGGGGTCTTCCCCCGCATCCTGTGGGGACAGGGCAGCCTTGCTCACGTTGTGAACCCACTCAGAGGCTGTGTTGGGAGGGTTGTTCTAATTGGCTTTTCCCCTGCCTGTGACCCAAAGGACCCACAAGAACAATATTCGAGGAGGGAAGGTTTACTTGAGGCTCACGGTTTCAGAGGTCTCAGTCCATGGAAGGCCGGCTCATTCCCGGGGGCTCGAGGTGAGGCAGCGCATCATGGCGGGAGAGGGTGGCGAGGGAGGCAGCTCACACGTGATCAGGGAGCAGAGGGAGACACTCCACTGTCCGTCCAGATACAAAACCCACCCCCACAGCCGCACCCCAGCCGCCCCCAGCCACCGCCCCCAGCCACCGCCCAGTTGATCCATCAGGGATCAATTCACTGATCAGGTGAAGGCTGCGGCCCAATCATTTCTCCTCAAAACCTCTTCATTGTCTCACCCACGAGCCTCTGGGGGACACCAGCTTCCCACCATAACAAGGGTGCACGTCCTCAACATGGAAGATGGGGATTTACACGCCCTCTCTGGACCCCTGTGTACTAATATTATTAGCAGGACATTCCTCCAGGGGTCGTGGCAGGTTAAATGAGTTAATCCCCTACACCTCGGACCAGGGTTGCCGGTTGTGCTCTCTGCAATGAGGACACGGGGTGACTGAGCCCCTGAAAGGGGGCTCCGGGTAATAAGGAAGAGAAGGTCTGCTGCCATCTGCATTTAAATATCCACACTGGCCAGTGGCTGCTGTTGGACGATGCAGGCCAGAAACGATGCCTGGCAAACAGTAGGTGCATAATTGGTGCTTGGGAGGATAGTGTCCTCCAAACCTTTTCCAGCGGCCAGCTGACGCCCCACCAGCGGCTCCCCGGCATCCTGGCTATGCCAGACTCTCAGCATGCCCCCCAAGGCCTTCCATGGCCCCTCGCCCCCAGGACAAGGCCCAGGCTCGCCCACGACACTTAGATTCCGACCCTCAGCAGGATCTGGAATGGCCTTTTGAATTTGGGTGGCTGGTTTCTGGTCTCTGTCCACCTTCCTCCTGGACTTTGGCCTCAGGGGGCAGGGTCAGGATATGGCACACAGTAGGTGTTTATTGATGACAGGGCCATCTTGGTCCGCTGACCCTCCCCTCCACAGTCACTGTCCCTGGTGTTCCCACCACCTGAACCCGGTTAACACGAAGCCCTTCCCGGTCTGGACCCGTCCTGCGGAGCCAGAAAGTTCCCCCACAATTCTTCACCCACAGGAGGGAGAGTAAGGCGAGAGGCGGATCTTTAGCAAGTAAAACTTTTATTAAATAAATTTTTAGTTTTTCTCAGACCAAAGAGAGGCGTTTGGACATGAAGACGCTTGTCACCTGAACACCTCAACAGTGACAAGGACCCTCTCCAGGCACGGGAAATCGGCTTTGACACAAAATCCAAACCAAGTCAACCCAAATTCCCTCCGAGCCCTCTCCTTTGCTCTCGCGTGTGTGTGAGTGTGTGTGTGTGTGTGTGTGTGTGTGTAAGTCAGTCTGCAGGTTGAAACTTCATGAAATTACTTGTAGCAGAAATAAAGTACATCGTACAAATCACGCAGGTCTCGACGTGGAGTATAAAAATGGTATTTACAGCCAGTAAACATGGACTAGAGGACAGCACAGGGCACCGCACACACTCCCAGGCAGGCCCGCGGGGCGGGTGCCGGGCCCCGCGAGGCTGCATGGCACCCACTGCACACGTGGGGGACAGGACACAGGCACGCACAGGAGTGGCTCGCAACATCACCAAACTCTGGAAACCGGACGAGTTTGCAGGAGTTTTTTTTTTTTTTTTCTTTTTCTTTTTGCTGTGGTCCCCACCCCCCGAGGTCAGTCACACATTTTGGTAGAAACAGAAGGGAATGCTGTGTCTCTTTTCTTTTTAAAAATTCTTTTTGTTTTTGAGCTTAAGTCATCCGGAGCCTCATGTGGCAAGAGGCCCGGCTGGACGTCCTTACGGACTCGCCTCTGTGCTTGGACGGGGCGTGGCGGCCGGAGGCTGTACAGGAGCGTCCCCAGACCCCCGACCCCCGCTAGAAACAAACATCTGTTATCATTGGATTTCCCCCCATTTTTTTCTCTTCTTTGTACCTGCTCAAAAAGACAGAAAAAAAAAAAGAAAAAGGAAAAAAAAAAGAAAAAAAATCTGTCGAGGTATGAAGGTCACTATCAAGGTCACGGTCTCTGATAAAGGGGTGCTTGGGCAGTCCAGGTTGGGCTTGTCCAACACGCTTGGCGATCTTGGTTACAAGACCTTAAATTCGAGGCTGGTGATTCACAGGCAGAGACGATGGCGGCCTGCCCTTGGGGGGGCAGTGAGGGACAGGGCCTCCCCCAGCCCTGGCTGCCCCGGCGCAAAGCTAAGGGCTATTGGTCACACAGTAAGGCTATGACTGAGGGGTGGGCGCAGGGAGGCCAGAGGGTCTCTTTGTGCCACAGGAAGGCAGGCCCCTGGGAGGGGGACAGGGTGGGGCTCTGGAGAGCAGCAGCCCGGGCAGGAGGCTCCAGCTGGCGGGGCCCGGAGGCCTGCGGGGGTCGGGGTGGTGGGGGCCCACAGTCCCGGAGGTATTTCTGTTGGCGCATTCCTGGCCTGGTGTTCCAGCTGTGGGTGGACGGGCACCTGGCCGCCCAGCCAGCCTCGGCCCCTCCTCCGTCCCTGTGGAGTGACCGGCTCAGGGTCACCCTCTTGGATGGAAGGAAGTCGAAAAGTTTGGCCCCATGATCTATACTCAAAAATATATATAAATACTGTCTAGAGCTCTCTATATATACGCATATATATATATATATATAGGGAAAGCGGTGACTTCCTTCTGGGAAGCCACCAAGGGGGTCCCGTGGGCGGGGAAGGTCCTGAAGTCGGGGGCAGCAGGTGAGCCCTTGGCTCCCAGCCCAGGAGACCCCCACCCAGGACAGAGCAGAAGGCCCCTCACTGTGGCCTTCAGAAGGGTTTCACATTTTGGGGACAGGGTAAGGGCAGAGGGGAGGGAGGGCTGGTGACCCAACACAGGCGCAATTTACGGGAAGGCCTGGGTCGGCTGGGAGGGGAGCCTTGTGGGGAGGGAGGCCCCTCAGCTGGGGGGAGGGCATCCAGGAGCAGTCCTGGGGCACAGCAGAGGACGCCACCCCCGTTCGTCCCCACCAGGAAGGGGCCGGGAACCCGAGGCCCATATTGTCCAGAGAGCACAGCCCCTGGTTCTGGGGACAAATGGGACAAGGGCGTTCCTTTTCTGACCCCTTCCCCACTCCAAGCCATTTACAGTCCAGAAGCCAGCTTCTTCCCGTCTCTGCCCCCCAGGTTCTCGTTCATTGGTGGCTGAGTCCCCAGACGCTGGTGACAGTGCCTAGCACATAGTAGGTGCTCAGTGAGGGTTGCCAGCTGAGAGCGGAAAGTGAGTGGACGGCAGTGTGGCCTTTGTTGTGGCCTCCGGTTGGCGGTCCCCAAAGGCACTTTCCCGCAGGGCGTGACTGTGCAGGTAGGGTCCCCCCACTCTGTGCTGCGCCCCAGATTCTAAAACACACTGACAGGCTCTAGCTGAGCTCCTACTTTGTACCAGACCCAGTGAGGTTCTTCACGATGACGGCGAGGGTGATCAAAAAGAAGAAGAGTCAAAACAAACTATCCAGAGCTTTTTAGGTGGCGGGTTCTGGGCTTGGCTTCAGAAAGACCCAGCAGGCCCCTGGCTGGGTCCTGTCCTGGGAGCCCACTGTGCTGACCCTGGGCTGACTGTTCCATCCCCGAGAGGATGAGTTTGTCTGTTCTACGCAAAACAAGCTTTGGGGGTTTTGTTGGGGTTTCCTGCACGATGGTGGGCGGTATACCCCATCCGCCTTCTCTACTGGGTGCATGTGATACTAGAGGAGCTGGGCCCGGTCGGGGCTGGTGGGGAGGGGACAGGGGCCTCCAGGCACTGTCCCCACCTCCTGCGCTCCAGCCCTGGTTCCCAGCGGAGCTGGATATCGTGAAGCCCCCACCTCAGGGACCAGGGTCTGGGGTGCGCACTTGACACTTTTTCCTGGGGTTCAGAGCTCTCCAGCAGGGAGAAGGGACGCACAGGACAGGACAAAGCCCCTCCCCCACCCCTGCCACGGACCAAACCTGCTTCCTGTGACCTTGTACTCATCCTTCAAGGCCTCCTCCGGGAAGCCTTCCCAGCCGGCCTGGGGCCCTGCTTTCTCCCCACCTCCCCACCCCGCCCCCCCTCTGATCCACCCTGACCACAGGGTCACGGGGGGCATCTTCGTCCAGCTCTGTCCCTGCCAACCCACCCTGGGGGCTTCCCGTAGCCTCCTGCAGCATCCCCAGGGGGAGGGTTTGGAGAATAAGCGAGGGGAGGAGGGTGTGGACAAGACAGGGCGGGGCGTGGGGCCGCCTGGCGGCTCACCTGGGCCAGGCCCACAGCCTGGGGCGGCCAGGGCAGGGTCAGTAGGGGTGTCCGGGGTCTTTGGGCCGCTTCAGCTGCACCTTGAGCCTCTTCGTGCCGATCTGGAAGCCGTTCATGGCCTGGATGGCGGTCTGCGCGCTGGCTGGGTTGTCAAAGCTCACGAAGCCTGTGGAGACGGGGCGGGCTGTGACGTGGGCACCACGGCCTCTGCCCTCGAGGAGTCCTGGGGCGCGGCCTGTGCTCGCACGGGCAGGCAGGCCTGCCAGAGGACACACGGCGGCCACCCCGGCTTCGTGCTGAAGTCTCTGGACTCGCGGTCCTCTGTGGACGGGGAGCTCACTCCTGACCTGGGGTCCAATCTGCTGGAACTTCCCATCTGGCAAGGGAGACAGGGGGTCCCAAGGGCCACGTTCTTCCTTCTCCCTGGAGCATCTGCCTCCCTCTCAGCCCTGGAAGCCACCCTGCTCCTGTGAGACCTCTGTGCCCAGGACATTTCCGGGGGCGGGCTGTGTCCCAGATTGTGTGGGTCCTGCCCGCCTGCCAGGGCCCGGGAAGAGCTAGGAGTGGCTCTGGAGCCGGGGCAGGTCTGAGGTCCCCCTGCTCTGGCCACGCCTGCCCACCCGCTGTCTAGTTGGGGAGACCGAGGCTCAGCGGGACAGTGACCCTGAGGAGATGCGAGCCAGCCAACGTGCGCATGCCTCCAGCATCTCTCCCTGGAGGTTGGAGTGGGGACGGGTTCGGGCACTGGTGGGTCTCTTCCTTCCTGTGTGACCTCAGTCCTGTTCCTGGCCCATTCTGAGGTTCTCTTTCCTCCCTCCATAAACTGAGAGGATGCCTCCTTCTAGGGCAGCTCCTGCCACGTCCCCTGGGATGCTTGTGCCACAGGTGGGTAGAACCTAGGAGCTGGGAGACCCCTTGGGGAGGGACTTCTGCTGACCTCCTGGTGCTGCATGTCAGTGCCCAGCACAGTCCTGGCACACAGTAGGTGCACATAATACATGCACACAATAGGTCTGCGTTGACTGAGTGGGCCTTTGAAAGGATATAAGGAAACTGCCTGGCACACGGTGGTGCCTAATGAGTGCACCCTCTGATTGTGAATGTGCTTCCTTTGGCCCAGGCCTGCCCTGCTCCAGGGCAGCTACTTACCGAAACACTTGCTCTGGTTGGTGGCCCGATCCATAAACACCTTGGAGGAGATGATATTGCCGAAGGGCAGGAACATCTGGGTCAGCTCCGTGTCTCCAAACTCCTGGGGGAGGTGGTAGATAAACAGGTTACAGCCTTCGGGACCTGCAGGTGGGGGAGAGAAAGACATAAAGCCCCCAAGGAGAGGAGGCGGAGCCCGGAGCCCACACCCTGGAGTCAGCTGTGGGGAGGGGGCTGGCTCCTCGCAGCCTGGAGTCGGGGGCGAGGGGCAGGCCACGATCCCCCCCTCAGATATGCCCAAGCAGGAAAAGCCTCAGGCCAGGGTCAGGCAGCCAGCCAGGCCTTGTGGCCCACACCCTGGCCAGTCCAGAGCTCCCGGAGACCCCGGCCCTCCAGAAAACCCACCCTACACTCGGCTCCAGGCCATCATGACAGCCAGTCAGCCTGGCCCGCGACCAGGAGTCTTGGCAATTGCACAGATCCGCCTTAAGTCCTTCAGCAGTTTAAGACAGACCGCTGTGGCCAGCAAGCCGGGGCGGCTCCGAGGAACAGCACATGCTTAGCACGGGCAAGGCCTCGGGTCCCCTCTCCAGCACCCCCTTAAAATAAAAAATTAAGTTTCCAGAAAGCCCAGTGGTCACAGAACAGAACAAAACATTCCCAGAGTTCCAAGCCCCAGACAGGGATGACCCCCAGGCCTTGGTGATTTTCAAAATTCAGATGGTTTGAAAAGAAACTCAGATGCAGTAAACATGATCTCTTGAGTCCTGAACCCCAGACGTACAGAAACCGTAGGTAACTGAGCAAGGACATACCATACCAACCAGAGTCGCTGTTAAAAATAGTCACGATTAGTCCTCCAAGACAAGCCCCAGCCCAAATAATCCCCACCGCACGGCTAAGATGAAATCATAAATGAAGCGGCACTGTGCTCTATGGCTCCGTCCCCCTGCAGGACACACGGCCGGGACTGCGGGGATACCCCTTTCCTTCCGCACAAGGACCAGGGCTCTGCTCTTTCTAGAGCTCAGGTTTGCACCAACACAGCTGGCAGGTGACACGTTGATTCTGAGCATAACTTGAATTCTGCACTTGTTTATCCCCTATTTTATTCCCCCCCAAATACTGGGTGGTCGCAGAAAAGCGTACCCCGCCGAACTGAGCTCGTAAGGAGACCCGCTGCATGCACACACCGCACACGGCCAGCTGCTACCCCTGACCGAGGCACCCCGACCCTGCGCCTGACTCCGGGCACCCACCCTCTGTCCGCCATTCCACAGTGACGCGTGGCAACCCCTTGGCCGCCACGTCCACGTGCAGACCTCAGGTCTTTCCCACCTTCCCAGGTGCTCCTTGGCCACTGAACAGGTGTAAAGCCACGACCTTTCTTTCTACGACCACTTTTCCCTGAGCACGCTGCTGGTGGGCTTGGACCACTGATTCCGGACTCTCTTTGGGTTTTGGGACGCAGTGCCACCGCAGCCTGCCTGCAGGTCAGCCCCCAGTGCCCTCAGGAAGTGGATCCCAGGTCCCCACAGACACCGATCCCACAGCGCTCATGTCCACAACATGGTGCAGGGTCCTCCCGCAGACTGACGTCATCACGGGTGACTAGCACCTAATACAATGCCAACGCTGTGCAGACAGTGGCTACACTGTACTGGGGATAAGGACAGGGAACGGTCCTTATGTGTTCAGTGCTGACAAAATGACACTTGTCTGCATATTTCCACCTGACCTTGGTTGAATCCTTGATTCCAAACCTGCAGATGCGGAAGGCGGAGGGTTTCAGACAACTTTCACCCAGTCCACTCAGGCTGAGGGCGGAGGTGGAGAGGGGCTTGGAGGGGACACCCAGGCCAGAGTCATCCCCCCTCAAAAAAAGGACACAGTGATGCTACAGAGTCCCTGCTGGTGCCATCCTGTGGTAAGAAATGGGGGTGCTGCGAGGTCCTGGGAATGCCTGACATGTGGAGGTGCTGGCCGCGACTCTTGACAAACACATGGTCTGGGGTAGTGGCTTGTCACACAGCCTCCAGAGGACATGCTATCTGACCCACCACGGGAAGCAGCTGATTGGCACAGCCAGGGGGCCCCCTCAGCCCAGCGCTCACCCCAAAGTAGGCTCCCACCCACGGGCCAATGTCAAGGGAGAAACTGGGCCAAGCCGTGGAGTCAGGCGCCCTTGTCATGGGATGGCCTGGAGCTTCTCTGGCTGGTCGCCTGTCCTGAAGACGCCCTCACTCCCGGTCACCCCCGGGGCCCAGATGGACACAGGTGTTGCATAGGAAGAAACTGAGGCACAGGGGCCTCCTCGAATCAGAAATGCACGGACTTGAACTTCAGCTGTCAGACTCCTGAATCTATGTCCTCCCTCCCTGGACAGCCCTGGCTTTCCTGGAGAGGCCTCGGTTTACCCAGCCGCTCCTCGAGCGTGCCAGGCCCCAACCTCAAGGGTTTCTCTCCCAAATTCCTGGCCTCTGGAGAGGCTGGTGGGGGCCAGCACGGCTCCCACTGTCCAGGGGAGCAAACTGAGGATGAGAGAGGGAGATTCCGTGGCCAGCCAGAGAAGGCCCAGGCGGCGTGCAGCTGCGCCAGGCCGGGAACCGGCTCGGACCGCGCGCTCCCCGCAGGTCCCCGAGGCCCGGAGGTCAGAGGGCGGGGCTGGCGCCCGGGGAGGTCGCGGCCGCCTCACCTTCTCGCTGCTGCTGCTGCAGGAGGGGCGGCGGCTGGGGCACGCTGTGCGCGATGGGCGTGATGGCCGCGGTGGGGTACATGGCTGCGGAGACCGGAGCGAGACACCCGGCGAGCGGGCGTGAGGCGGAGCCGGGCGGCGCGGGCGGGGCGGGGCCAAGGCCTCGGGGCGGTGCCAGGGCTCAGGGGCGGGGCCGGGCCATGGATGAGGGGCGGGGCCATGACTCGAGGGGTGGGGCGGGAGCGGGCACCGGCGGCCCAACAGGACCCGGACGGAGCCGTGGTCAGGGGGCGGGGCCGGACACAGGGATGAGGGGCGGGGCCCTGACTCGAGGGGTGGGGCGGGAGCGGGGCGCCGGCGGCCCAACAGGAGCGGGGTGGAGCTGCGCTGGGGGGCGGGGCCGGGGGCATCCGCGAGGGGCGGGGCGAGGGGCGGGGCGGAAGGTGTGCGGGAACACAACTTGAGGGACACAGGGTGGGGTACAGCAAGGGGCAGGGCCACGGCCACAAGGGAGAGTGGCTACCGGGGTGGGCCCCAGAGGAAGGAAGGACCGAGGCCACATTGGAGGGGGCAGGGCCAGAGCAGAAGGCGAGGCCACCGTGAGGCCTTAGGAAGCGGAGCCAGAGGCGGGGCCGGGGCTTTGGCAGAGGCGTGGTCAGTCCGCAGAGCAGGAGAGGGGCGTGGTCAGGTGCTGGGGCGGGGCCGGAGGCGTGGTAAAGGGGAGCCCCAGGCCGCAGCGCAAACCCAGGTGGTGGGGCTGTGTTGAAGCCCGGGCCTTAAGGGACCGGTCCACTTTGGGGGTCCGGTTTTGGGGGTGGCAGGAGTGCGGCCAGGAACCTTGCCAGAGGATGAAAGCAGGACAGGGGTGTGACCTGAGTGGGTGGGGCCAGAGGCAGGGGGTGTGGCTGGGCACCGGAGGGGGGAGGGGTGTGGCCAGAATGGGCCGTGGCCGGTGGAGAAGGGGCGGGTCCGCTCGCTGCGCCGGGCTGCCGCCCTACCTGTGTACTGCTGGACTCCCGAGAAGGCCGGGTGGAGCGCTTCGGCCACCGTCGGGCTCTGAGCTGCGGGGCAGATGGAGGGGCAGAGTGGGCCGGGGGCGGCAGAAGTCCTCCAGCCACCCCCGTCCTTAAGAGCAGGAGGGAGGGAAAGGGACGTGCGCCCCCGCTTCGCTTGTGTGCTGACCCGCTGTGGGTTTGACCCCGTTTTTACAGGTAGGGACACCGAGGCTGAGAGGGGAAGCCTCTCGCTCGGAGCCGCTCAGAGAGCCAATCGCAGAAGCCAACAGGACCCCGGGTTTCTCAGACTCCAACGAATTTAACCACCCCCTCATCTTGCTGGCCCTGTCCTGACCCCCTGGCTTTCAGGGGTGACCCTCACTCCTCCCTTGCTTCTCCACTCAGCCCTCCCTCCCCTCACTCTGCCCCATCCTCTTCCCACCGCTGGTACATCAGATGCCCTGCGGATCCCACCCCGCCGAGACCTCTGGCTGCCATGGAAGAGGAGCCGGAGAGGTTGTCCCCACCACCCAAACCGCTGAGTCTGGGGAAAACCGCCGAAAATTCTGCTCCAATGCAGAGGCCGCTAGAGGACAGGGTGGTGGCTGGGACTGAAGGGATGGCAAGCGTTTGTGTCTTGATTGTGGTGGTTATGCAGATATGTTACCAAAATGGCACAGACACACATAGGGGCAAGGTGAAAGAGGGAAATCCAAATAAGGTCTGGAGTGGACTGTACATAGCTAGGTCAGTGTCCTGACCCTCCGCCATGGTGGTGAGATGCCAGTGCCCAGCAAGCAGGCAGATGAGGTGGGCGAAGGACACACCTATGCACGCACCTAGCCTCCAGTTATTACAAAGTAAAGAGTTTAAACCAGAATCTCCTCCACGGTAGAGAAGACTTATTGGCAGGAGGCTTTGGGAGGGGTACAGGGTAGGGAGAAGTGCATGTCTGACCCACAAGGGCAGCTGCTGCCCAATCGGTGCCCAGTCAGTATTTTTTCAGCGAGTGAATGGATGAAGGCATCCATGTCCTCCCCAATCGGGACAATTAACATGTATGACTTTTGGTGCTGTCCTCGTGAGGTGATGGTATTAGCCTCATTTTCTGGTTTTTTTTTTTCAATATTGGGGTTTGAATCCAGGGGTGCTCTACCACTGAGCTACATCCCCAGCCCTTTTAAATATTTGAGACAAGGTCTCACTAAGTTGCGGAGATTGGCCTTGAACTTGCAATCCTCCTGCCTCAGCCTCCGGAGCTACTGGGATCACGGGCCTGCACCACCACACCTGGTCCCCATTTTCTGGATGAGCTGAGACTCACACAACCCTGGGCCACCAAACTGAAATGTGAACCCAGAACCACCCGGGCTACCTCCTCTGTTCCCACATGCCAGGCCTCCCTTCCTGGGACCACAGCTCCTATCTGCTCTGCTGGGACTCCTTCGTCCGCCCTTCTGCTCCCTGGGCTCCAGGGGGTGTGGACTCATGCTTGTTCCACTGGGCTTCAGGGGACCACTCTGAGTTACCTGGGTAGGGCACAAGGCCATTGGCATACACAGTCTCCAGGGCAGGGTGCCCACCAGGAAAGGGCACAACACCTGCGAAGCCATTGGTGATGGGAGCCACGAGGCCCGGCACGGCAGCCGTGCCCAGCAACGGGGGTGAGTGCAGCCCTGTGGAGAGGAAGAGGTCAGGGGAGCCTTGGCTGCTGGCTTGGGGTCCTGCCCATCCATCCTGGGCCCCTGACAGATGCTCACCAGAGGCAGGAGCAATGGGTGTGGCAGGCAGCCCATTAAGGCTGACGGCACCGATCTGCTGGATGTGGCAGGGTGAGAAGGCCACACCGGGGCTCAGGTAGCTGCCCGAGGTGGACAGCACAGTCGTCTGCTGCTGCATGAGCTGGGGACAGAGAGGACGTCAGTGGGCACGGTCTGCCTTGAGATCAAGGCTCAAAGGGGAGGCTGGTCCAGCGACTGGGAGAAAGGGTGTGTCGTGCTGGGTGCGTCTTGGCTGGAATCAGGGCTCGGTCAGGGATCAAGGCTCAGAACAGCTCAGGGTTCAGCTGGAAACGGAAGCTTCACCCTAGGGGTTAGTTCAGGACCAGGGTGCAGCCTGGGTTAGGGACTCAGTCTGAGTTTGGTGTCAAGGTGGGGTCAGGGCTCAGTCTAGATTTGGTGAGTGAGCCTGGCATTGTGTTCTGCCCAGAATTCGAGTTTTAGCCTGGACTTGGGGTTCGGTTCATGGGTAGGGGCTCTTCTAGGCTTGGAAGGAATCAGCTTGGAGTTGGGGGCTCAGCCACACAGGACAGGTCCTGAGCCCGAGAGGTGGAGCAAGGCACAGGAGGAAGGCCAAGAGGCGGGCACAAGGGAGAGCCGCACTGGGAGCTGGGGACACAGCCCATCTGCTGGGGCCACTCACAGCCTGGGCGTAGGCACTGTAGGGGCTGAAGGGCAGGGTGAGGGACGGCGTCAGGATGCCCAGCTGGCCCACCATCTGCTGCATGCGCCGCAGCGTCCTCTCCTTGTCGGTGTCCGCGAACTTGACCACCAGGCTGGAGGAGGCTCCCTGGGGGGTTGGGGGCAAGCAGGGGGAGAAGGGCAGGAGGTAGCCAGGACCTGAGGCCCCCAAGCCTGCCAGCCCAGGCACCGCAGCCATGTCTGCAGCTCACAGCTGCAGGAGCTGAGGCCACAGGAAGCCCGGTGGCCGTCAGCATCCCAGGCCTGGTGTCTGCATAGGTGCTACGTCCAGCTGCGTCTGGGGCACAGTGCATGCACAACCACCTAGGGGACTGTCACCCACCGGGAGCAACAGCTAGAAGACACACCTGCTAGGATAGTGTTGCAACTATGGGACAGCTCACCCAGCTGGGCTGAGATATGGATGTCACACCAACGGGCAGCCCAGGCAGTGGCCAGCAGGGGCTTTGCATCAGGACGCAGCCACAGGGGCACAGGGCCAGCTCTCCACCCGTCAAAGGCAGCTGACCCTGACCCTGGGGTTTGGGAAGGGAGAAGCTTTCCCTCCAGTTAGACCCTCCCGCCAGCCCCCAGGTGCCCCTGCAGCCTGCCCTTGCTGACCTGCTGACCCCCAGGGAGCTCGTTCCCACAGGGCCCCCCGCTCTGGCAAGAGACAGCTCTGAGCACACAAGGCCTGCCCCCAGCTCTGGAGGACACCTGAGGAGGAGAGCTGAACCTGGGGCCGGCAGATGTGGACATCTGTGTGCAGAGAGGGTGGCTCCTGGGGCCCCATCCCGCCTCGAACCCCCGAGACGCCCCTCCTCCCCTCCGCCAGGGCCAGTGGGCCAGTAGGACCCTGTACCCTCACCAGCATCTTTCCAGACTGGCCCTCCTGTCCACCCGGCCCCAGCTCAGGCCTTATGCTCCCCGACCTGGACCTGGGTCCAGGCCCCCGGTCACCCCCTCCATCCCCTTGTTTGACCCAAAGGAACAGTCGCTACTGGCCGGGCCTCCCTGAATCTGGGGGAAGGGTGGCTGGGAGACAGCAGCTCTGTGAGCAGACGGCCGGACAGTCGCCCAGCCAGGGTCAGTCAGAAACCCCTGCCTGAGGAGAAAGCCTGGGCTCCTCTGTCCTGAACAGCAGGACCTCGAGCCCCATCTTCCACTGTCCCTCCTGCCTGCCATGCCCATCCCCACCCTGTCCTCGTCATGTTCCCCAGCTCGCCCCCCCCATGCACACACGTGCATGCACACGCTCACACCCGCTGGCCCACACATCCACGCGCACCGTCCACCTCCCCCGGCCTGCACAGACTCGGTGTGCACACACACCACCCAACGTGTGCGCAGGCATGCTGGCACACACAGGCACAGTGGCCGCACAAACCCGCAGCACACACACACTGCCCTGTCATCCAGGCTCACGCAGGTTTGCACACTCAGGTCTAACACACATGTGCACTAATTCACATACACACACTTACACGAGCACACGCGAGCACCATATCTGTACAAGTGCACACGCGTGCATACTGCACTCTCAACACACCTACTAATCATGCCTTCGCAACAGCACTCGCATGCACGCGCACACAGCGCACACCTGTAGCACACGCATGCCCACCCTCCCACACACACTTGCACACACACACACTCGCCTGCACCTTCCCCACAGCCCAGGGCTATAGGCTCTCTGCCCCCTGTGCCCTCCCTGAAGAAGAGCCAGAGGCCACTGGCTGGCTGCGATGATGATTCTGTCCCTGTCCCCCTCACTGCCCATGCCCCCTACCATGGCCAAGGGCACTCCTACTCACCGGCATGGTCTGGCTGCCGTGGAGGGCGTGGATGGCTGCCTGGGCCTCTGTGTGAGAAGAGAATTTCACGAAGGCACAGCCTGTTCCAAGACAGGGGGAGGGGAGGTGCGGGTTCAGAGGATGAGAGGGTGGGAGGGTGGCCACACAAGACACACAGCCAGACACCCAGCAGTCGCGGCTGGAAGACAGCCGCTGCTTGTTCAGATTGCTGTGCAACCAGAGGGTCGGGGCCAGACAGTCGCCCAGCAACCTCGGCCACCGCACGCCCAGTGGCCTGTCACCCATTCAGTTGGTCAGCCAGAAAACCAGGCGGCCTGGCAGCTGTTTTCACAAACAGAGCATGGCGGGACCTCGGGGAGCCCTGTCTGTCAGAACGAGGGAGGGCCAGGCCTGCCAACAGCCCGGCACCCTCACAAGGTCCAGATGCTGTCCCCAGAATGCAGGACGGAGGCGACGACACACCACTGGACAGGGCAGTCTTGGGGTAGAGTCAGGCTAAGCACAGGGACTGCAGACAGACCTGGCCATGTCCAGAGGCATGCGGAGGGGGCCGTGTGCCACCAGGCCAGAGACCACCAGACACTGGCAAATCCAGCCAGAGGGCCGCATGGACAGAGGCCCCAGGGCAGACAGACAGCAGACACCTCCTGATAGACAGCGCGGAGAAAGTGCCAGGCGGCTCTGGGTAGTGTGGCGAAGTGTCGGGAATTGGGCAGATGGCAGCACAATTTGTGACGGTTCCAAAAGCACTTGGGGGCCCAGCGCGGCGCGTCCCGGGAAGCGGCTCCACCCCGCGTCCCGCCAACAGCCCGGCACCCTCACAAGGTCCAGATGCTGTCCCCAGAATGCAGGACGGAGCCAGCCCCTCCCACTGGACCCGCCCACCGGCCGCTCCCCTCCACGTGCCCAGGCCGCCCCGTCCCTTCCCGCGGCCCCGCCCCTGGAGCAGCCCCACCTCATTTCAGGCCCCGCCCCCATCACCTTTGCTGCTGCCGTCGGGCCCCCGGAGCACGGTGCACTCGTCAATGACCCCGAAGGGCTGGAACAGCCGCAGCACGTCCTCCTCCGACTGCTGCTTGTTCAGCATCCCCACGAACAGCTTCCGGTCCCCTGTGGGCGGAGACACCACCTCAGCCAAGTCCCGGGCCTCCGTGATTTCTCTGGCCCTCCAGTGCGCATGGACAAGGTTCGCCCAGGTTCGCTGGCTCCTGTTCTGCGCGTGCAGGGGATCGGGGGACACAGCCTCAAGGCAAGGACGGCCAGCCTATGCCTGCCCAGATCCCTCCAATACCCTCTGTACCCTGAGTGTTCCCATCTCGCAGCCTTTGCGGGCGTCCCAGGCCCTGTTTGGCTGCTCCCGGGCAAAGACAGTCTCCCTCCTGTGCACCCCAGAGCCCACCCAGAGGACCATGGTGCTGGGTACCACCTTGCTGTACCAAGTCTGCAAGCCTGGGTACACTCAGGACCCTGCTCTCAACAGTGACCAGCAGAACCCCCTGCCCAACCCTTCTGGGGCTGGGAGACAGAGTCAACCGATGTCCAGTGAGAGGTCATGTGCACCAGGCCCAGTGCCAGGGAAGCCTGGAGCCCCACCTGGCGCCCCTGGGTGGGGGGCGGCTGGATCTGCCTGAGTCTGGGGCCAGGGGCTGGGCCAGCCTCTCCCTTGAGACACTAGAGCCGTGCCCCTCTGTAATGGCACTGCTCCCTGGTAATCAGGAAAGCAGCAGCTTCATCTCCCAGGGATGGTGAGGTGGTTACTATGGAAACCCTTCTTGGGCAGCTGTCACTCAAAAGGGTGGGAGGAAGAGAGAAGCGGAGAGGCTGAGCATTAGGGAGAAAGAGAGAGAGAGCAGAGGGAACCAGACAAGCAGGAAGAGAGGAGAAGGAGCGAGAATCAGATGTGGGGGCGGAGGGGTGCAGCAGTCCTGCAGACCCACAGGCCTGCCCCTCTCCTGCTTCCCACATGGCAGCCAGGGTGGAAAGTAAAAGCGGTTCCTGACCCAGACAGGCTTAACCAGGCTCCTACACATACACAGAGGTCCCAACAGCCCTGCCCGCACCTTCCCCTCCCCTGGGTCTCCCCTTTAGCTTCCCTCCACCCAGGGTAGGGAGAAGAACGGCTAGGCTCGGGGCCACTACAGACAGCTGAGCAGGCCTCCAGGGTGCAGCCCACACCAGGGTGCAGCCCCACACAGATTCTGGCCCCAGCCTGCACGTCAGCCCGCACACCCAGCTCCAACAGCCAAGCACACGGGCGTGAGCACACATGCCCACGCATAGGCCAGGCACAGTCGTGCATGCAAGCGGGTGGGTGCCCGGCACGTTGCACGCATGTGTTCATGTGTAGCAGCTGCAGCACAGCAAGTCTGCACGTCTGGACACAGGAACGCACGCGCATGCACACCTGCAAACACGCACGCGCACGTCCCAGAGACCGACCCATAGCCCTCGGGACCCCAGCCTCTCTGAAGACCCCCATTAGCACACCCTGAAAGGGGTGGGGTATTTGCAAGCAGCTGGTCTTGGGCAGAACCCCGTTCCTGGACCGGTCCCACCACCAGGGGGCGTGTGAACGCTGCGGCTCTGGCAGCCAAGGCCAGCTGCGATCCACAGGCCCCACCCACTGTCCCCTTCAGTGAGAGGTAGGAAGGGATTTCCCTCCTCCCCATTCCTCTGCCGACCCCAGCCCGGCAGCCGTGGAGAGATGACAACTACCTCCGCGGCTTTCGCTGTCTGCAGGCTTCACCTGGATCGGTCGCGCCATCTGTGGAAAGAGGGGGAGGGCAAAGTCAAGATGGGCAGGCGGCCACTCCTGAGCCCTGCTGGGCACCCGTGCTCACCTCCCTTGCTTCAGCATCCACCAGCCCCCAGCCCCTGAACATCCCAGTCAAACCAAATGACGGACCGAATGGCAAACTCTTAGCTTTCAAAATCCACTAGCTATCATCCCTTCCTCCAGGAAGACCGCCTCTCCAAACCCGACAGGCTACTTGCAAAGGTGGCCGCATTCCTCCCGACCTTGTAGGTGATGTCACTTTGCAGTTCCTGACATCAAGAAGTGGGGTGTTTTTCCCCAGCCCCAGCATCTGGACCTGGCTGTGTGTGTGCCTTGGTCCAACCAACAGATCCGACCAACAGAATGTGGCACAAGTTCTGAGCCTGGGCCTCAAGAAGCCTTGTCCCTTGCCCTTTTGGAGCCCTGAGATGCCAGGGGGGAAAACTTGGGTGAGCTACTGATGACCCGCAGGAGGGGCCAGCAGAAGAATCATCCAACAAGCCCCAATTGCATTCGCCAACCCACAGAGTAGGGATTAGACAAAATGCCTGGGACCGTGTGTTACCCAGCAGTAGCTAACAGATACACTCAGGCAACTACTTTTAGGCAGGTCCCATGAGCTTTGGGTGGAAGGACTGTCATACCCCAGTGGACCAGCAGGTCATCTGGGCCCATGGTTCCATTGTTCTGGAATCCCCTGTCCCCAACCCCCAGTACTGAAAGCCACATTTCTGTGGAAGTTGCTCTCCACTGTGGCACCTCCGCACATGCTCAGTCCCGGGCACGAGCTGAATTTGAGGTGTGAGGGCAGAAGCAGGGAGGCAAGGGTCCACTGGTCCTGGACAGGGCTCTCCTCCTCAAGTGGAGACATGGGGAACTCCTGTTCATCCGTCAGAACCCAGCTCTAAGGCCCCCAGGCTGGCAGTCCCCCCACCTCTGGGCCCCAGGCTCCCCCGCCTCAGGGCCGGAAGTGTCTGTCTTGCTGTCCCTCCAGCTGGGGACCCTGGTCAGTCCACACAGGGCAGGATGTGGAGCCATCAGAGGAACTTGCAGAACTGAACCCGCCTGTGTCTCCCAGCATAGGAAGGTGCCCTTGGCTGGACCAGGGCCTCCCAGAGGGACATCCCGTTAGCCCTGCAGTCTCTGGACCCCTCTTTCCACCTCAGACTTTTGAGGTCCAGCCGAGAAGGCCCCACAGGCCAGCTTTTCCAACCACGCGAGACTACAGGACAACCCGAGACCGGCACCTGGTGGACCCACCTTCCCGACGGCAAAATCAAGAGCGGCGGCCGAGCTGGGCAGGGCCGGTGGGCAGCAGCTCCCGCGGTGCAGCCCCTCCCCCTCCCGCGGCTCCGCCCCTCTGGACCCCTTCACCTCTATCCCAGCTGCAAGCCCACTTGGGCGCCTCAGTCAAGCACCCCGCTGCTCTGAGCCCCCCAGCTGGCTCCCTCCCTCTCGAGCCCCACCCCTTTCGGAGTCCCCTCCCCCTCCCCCATCTCCTCCTGTCTCGCTAAGACCCTCCCCCTCTGATACCCTCCTCCTTTCTGAGTGCTGCCTCGATTTGAACTCGGCTTTAGGAGCCCCAGAACCAGAGAGGCCTCTGTTTGTCCCCAACCCATCCCCTGCCCCAAAGCCACCAGCAGCCACCACCTCAGACCACCTAGGAAAGGCCCAAACCATCTCCCTCCCCCTCCATCAGCCCGCGCCGCACCTCACCCCCAGGCCCTCTGCACCTGGGCACCACACCCTGCTAGCTGGAGGTTGAGGGGAGATTATTTCAACCAGATGCCATCAGCTTCTGGGTTGGGGTGGCCAACGTGCGGGACAGGGGGCACCTGGGACCGAGCTCCTGCTCCCCCTCCTCTCCCACCCGCCTCCGCGGGCCTCACCTCCTCCCTCCTCCCAGCACCTTGGGCAGATGAGGATGGGGTTACCATGGCAACGCTGATTCACCACACGGAAGCTGGCAATTGTTGTTGCCATGGAAACCGCCTCTGAGGGGCGAGCCCAGCTCTTGCCTCGCACAAAAGAGAGATTTAAATATGATCTTGGAGAGATGGATGGGCCGAGGGAGGGAGGGAGGGAGGGGCGGCCGCGGGAGAGCATCCGCCCCCATCACCCAACCTCCATCCCCACCCCATTCTCGGGGCCTGGGGTACCTGCCCTCCATCCGCGCCCTTGGTTCGGCCGCTGGACACGGGGACCTTCCGCCTCCCCCTGGGAGGCCCCCCCTCCTGGGGCAGCCTGGTGGTGGGGAAGGGGGTCCTAATCTGGCCCAGGAAGCCGGTGGGCAGCCCTCCCTCCAGGTCCCCACACCGCACCCGTCTCTGGGGCCCGGTGGTCCCCGCCCCGCAGCCCAGCGCCCGCCTTACCCACCGGCCAGGGCCGCGCCAGGCTGGCATCCACGTGCCGCCGCCCGCCCGGCCGCCCTGGGCGCACAGGCGCACACCACGCGCAGGCCGGCCGCCACCCCTCCTGCGCCCCTGCCCGCCCATCTGCCTCTGCCCACCTCCTTCCGGCTCCCTCTCTCCATCTGTCCCGCCGAGGTGTCCGCCGCCTGCCCTCCCTCCTCCTCACCGCAGCCGCTCCCCACCCCCCCTTCCTTTATTTATTCCACAACATTTCCGGCTGGTCCAAGTCGAGAAATTTTGGGATCCCAGGGGACCCCACATTCATCCAGCACAGGGGAGACTGGCAGACACTGGCACTTGGGGGGTCAGGGCGGGTGGAGGAGAGAAGGGTCACGCTGGAGCCGAGGGGACCCAAGGACCAAAAGTTGTCCCAGGCTCCGGGAAGATGGCTGTGTGCAGGGGTTCTGAAGCAGGCGTAGGAGTTTGGGGCGGTCAGACAGTCTCCCCAGTCGGAGCACACAGTGACCATTTAATCCCCACCAACATGATGCCACGGGGAAGACCAGAGGGGCAGGCGGGCAGAAGCGGGCCAGGTCCTGCTGGTGTCCCCGGGCCCTCTGAGGACCCACCCCATCTACCTAGGGAGGTCCCGGGGCAGGACTCCGGGGGTCCTGGGCCTTTGGCATGGGTGGGCGTGCACTGGGTGGGTGGGACCCAGTCCTCTGCTCCCAACCACGTGCCCTGGAGTGTCACAGGTGGGGACACGGGGCCCCTGAGAGGGCAGGGCCTGCTGGAGGGTCCTCTGCTGCCCCGGGGTGGAGCCAAGAGTCCACCCTATTTGAAACGTGATCCTTTAGAAGATTTGGGGCCCAGGGAAGACCCCAGCCAGATGGTGTGAGGGGGGAGCAGGGTGGACCCCGTCTGGCTGCCCTGCCCACACTCCACTGTGCTCTCCCGCTGACCCCACCTCTGCCATGCACTGCACCAAGCCCCTTCTCCTCTGAATGCTGCTGTGGCTCCCTATTGCCCGGGTGGACGCCGGCTCCTCATCCTGGCACCTGAGGGCCCCACTGCGAGCCCAGCACAGAGTCCACAATGACAACCTGTGGTCCCCATTCTCCACAGGAAGCAAAACGCCCCCATCCTCGTGGGCAGGCAGCACTGGGTAGCACCTGGCGTGAGGGAAGGGAGGTGTGGCCACGTGGAAAAGCCACAAGGAAAGTCCAGATGTGCCCCTTCACCTGGAAGCCAGGGGCCCCGGGCAGGGGCAGCTGGACCGCCCTGCAGGGGACAGAGGTGGGCGCTTTGTCACCCTCTGAGTTCCGGGCACTCTGCTCTGGGCAGTATTTCCTTTGACCTGCGTTTTATCTCTTTCCTTCGTGGGGTGCCGAGGGTCAGCCCTGGGCCTCGCACGTCCAGCTGTGGGGAGCCCCGACCCCCCAGATCTCTGTCGGGAGATCGAGAGGCCCTGAGAGAGTTGGGGAGGCTGCAGGAAGCCGGGGCAGGGGTGCAGGTGACCAGGGCCAGCAGTGGATGCCACCACAGGCCAGGGCTCACGTGGGCCGCTCTCCCAGGAGCCCGGAGTGGCCCTGCCACCCCCTGACTCTGGCCCTGGCTCCTGAGCGGTGAGAGGCAGAGCCCGCTGCCCTGAGCCTGACCACAGCCCATGGCCACAGCTGCCCTAGGAAACCGGGCCTGCTCCACCCGGGGCCCGGGAGCCTCGGGCACATCCACCCCTGAGGTCACCTGCTGCCAGGCCCCTGGCCGCCCATCTGCACCGAGACCCCTCCTCAGTCTGCTCGACCCACGGGCTTCTCCACCTCCACAGGCGCCGTGGCGGTCACTCCCTGCTGTCCCCCGCCCTACGCCAGACCAGAGCTGAGGAAAGGCCAGCCGGGGACACACGAGCCGGACACAGACACCCGGCCCCCGCGGGCAGCTGGAGGGAGTGCAGGTGGGACAGCCGTCCCCGCGAGTCCTGGACTGAGGGGTCAGGGCCCTCAGTGTGAGGGAGTGGGGATCCCTGGGGACAAGGACCTGCTTCTGCCCTCAGCCTCCAAGTCTGTCCAGATGGTCAGGGGACAGGGACACCGAGCGGCAGAGACACTCGTCCTGGGGCCCAGCTCGGCTGGGTAGAGCCGAGATTCAAGCTCAAGGTGTCACAGCAGCAGCGTCGGGGACGAGGTGACACAGAGGGAGACACTCTGAGAGCAGAATGTGGGGACCAGGGCTTTGGGGACGGGGAGGGGAGGTGGCGCCAGGGCCTGAGCGAGGAGCTGCTTCAGAGGGCGTCACGGGCCAAGTGTGGGCACCTGCAGACGGCGGGGCCACTTGGGAGGGGACAGGTCCCAGGGAAGCTCAGCAGAGTGCCCGCAAGGAGCAGGTGCCCAGGGAGACTGTGTCAAAGGAGTGGACACGGGAGGACGGGGGGAGGGAGGGACAGATGGACAGAGGGAGGAGGGAGGAGGGACGGTGGGTGGGTAGAGGATGGAAGGTGGGCGGGGGTGGGCGGGGGTGGACGGAGCGTGGTGGGAGCGTGTAGGTCGGGTGGGCGGTGCCACACGAGGAAGAGGCCACCTTCGCGGAACCGGCCACGGCCCCGGCGACCCCCAGCAGCGGGTCTGCGTCAGCCCAGGGTCCGCCCCTGCCCTGTGGCTTGCTGGCACCTGACCCTGGACGGACCTGATGCCCACTGGTGAGTCCCTCTGTCCTTCTCTCAGTCTCCACTGTCCAGTGACAAGCGCGGGGAGAATGAGAGGCCACTGTGAGGCTCGGGCGCCAAGGGTGGCTCCCTCCTTGTCACACGTGGCCCCGAGCTCTGGGGAGGCCAGCTGCCCGCGATGGGGACCTGAGGCCTTCGACCCCTGGCCGCCCGAGGGGCCAGCCTGGAAGCAGATTCCCCACCAAATCAGAGTCCTGCTGACGCCTGGCCCCAGCCCAGGCCAGCTCCCGGTCAGGACCACGCGGCGAACCCACTCCCAGGCTGGGCCCTGGCGGCCGCTGGGCCCAGAGCTCCTGCTTGGAACCGCGAATTCACGGGTGGCCTGTGACCCAGCGGCAGAGCGGCCCTTGGCGGTCGGTCACCTCCCCCGGCCTCTGGGCTGGCCTCCGGAATCCGGCTGGGCTGGCCGGTGCTGGCAGAGGGTCCAAGAAGGAGGAGAGTGAATTTGGGGCTTTCGTTGTACAGACTCGAGGTCACTCTTGCCCGTGCTGTCCATCTGCCCAGAGCCCTTTCTTGTCACCTGCAGGGTTGGGAGGTGGCCTGTCCCCAGGTCACGTGTTGGGGGCTTGGTCCCCGGTGTTGGGGGGGCTTGGAGAGATGGGCCTGGAGGAGCCGCTTAGGTCCCTGGGGACGAGTCCCTGAGGTGTGGACAGGGCTCTCCTGGGAGGCCAGCTGGACGCCTTCCTCCTCCCCTCCCTCTGGCTTCCTGGCTCATCACAGGACTCTTCCTCTCCCACCTCCTGCCACGTGACACCATCCACCATGGCATCCTCACTGGATCTGAGCCAATGTCAATGACATGCCCTTGACCTCCAGAACGGTGAGCTTTATTTATAAACCTTTTTTTTTTCCTTTAGGGACCAGCCTGCCTCTGGTATTTCATTATAGTTACGGAAAAAAAAAACTAAAACATCATGTTTCTTCCCAAATGTCACCTCCTCAATGAAGCCCTCCATGACCACCTCCTCTACAATTTCTTCCCCCTACATTGACATGTTGCCCTCTTCCAGTCCCAAAGAACAGAGAGATTAAGTTTCTGGCTCGGTGTCACACAGCAAGGACAAGTTGGAGAAGAAGAGAGCATCACTGAAGTGGCAACCGGAGTGCCCGTCACCTGAGCCGCAGCCACCCCCAAAGGGGGCTTTTCCTTCTTTCAAACGAGCTGAGGCCACCCAGCACCTTCTGACCTGTTGCAATTGAGTCCAACGCAAGCCACGTCTTCAGCCCCGAGGCGCACCCTCGCTCTCCACTGTCAGGTGAGGCCCGACTGCCAGGTGCTGCAGGGTCCCCCAGAGCCCCAGAGGGACGGGGAGCCCCAGAGCCCTCGAGCTGAGGCCCGCAGGCTCCTGAGGCTCCCTGGGCCCAGGGACCTGGCTCAGGGGGACCTTCCTTGCTGGCACCCAGTAAGGACAGGAAGACTCACCAGGGACAGTGTCCAGGCCAGCCTCCTAGTCACCAGGGACACAGCAGTCCCCACACCAGGGGCTGTGGCTGCCTTTGCTCCACAAGGACCCGTGGCCCTGTTTCCTTTCTATGGGAAAAGCCGCAGGATCTAGGCTCCTCATGCCCCACGGGGCTGCGCCACCTGCCTGTCCCCACCCGGCCTCCATCACCTCCTCTGCTGCAGCCACAGGGCTCCTCCCTGGGCCTCCAGCACACCAGGCTGGGTCCTGCCCGGGGCCTCTGCCTGCTGAGCTTCCTCACCTCCGAGGCCGGTGACACTTGCATGTAGGGCCAGGCACTTGTGCAGTAAACAACCTGGCCAACCACACATGCCTTGTAATACACAGCCCAGCTGCAGGAGGCCCCGGCCGATGCCACCTGGTGGTGCCTTCTGCCCCCTGCTCTTAGCTGTCTTTCTGGGTCAGAGGCCATAGGCTTCACAGCTGATTTGGGAAGGGCCTGAACCCCAAGGCTGAGAGCAAGTCCCCACCCACCTCCCCAGACAGCACACGACACTCACCCCGGGTAAGGTCTTCTGCTCGTGTAGGGCAGTCTGAGCTTTGATGGCGGAGTCCCTGGCACAGTAGGTGAGGAAGGCACAGCCTGGGGGAGAGGAACAGGGATGTTAGGAGAAGAGCCCATGCTCACAGTGGAGGATGCAGTCCCACGTCCACCAGCAGATGGATGGACACATGCTGGAATACTACTCAGCCAGGAACAGGAACAGAGCTCTGACATGCTGCACAAGTTGTCAGTGACATGATGCAGGCACAAGGGACACTCCCTGCAGGGTCCGTCACAGGGGGTCCCTGGAGTAGTCACAGACACAGGAAGTGGACGGTGGGGGCCAGGGGCTGGGAGGGCATGGCAGATTGAGCTCCATGAGACAGAGCTGCCACCGGGCGCATGGAAGGTTCTGGAGATGACCGGTGCCGGCTGCCCGGGGCGGGCACTGAACGCCGCTGAGCTGCGCCTCGGCCAGGCACGATGGAGGGCAGCCGGGCTTGCCCACAGCCACCCCCCTCCAGGGTGCGACGGGGCGCGAGGGAGGAGGCCCGGCTGCGGGTGAGCAGGGCTGGCGCTGGGGAGGGAGGGCCATGCTGGGCCAGGCCCCGAGAGGATGGCGGGGCCACAGGATAGGCCACCAAGGGGCACGCAGCTGGAGGGCGTGGCACGGCGGTAAAGGGCAGGGCCAGTCAGGAGAGGGACCCAGGCTGAGGCTGGCGCCCCCCGGGAGCGACGGGAGGTGTGGAGGCAGGAGATGCAGAGGAGCCAGGCAGACAGAGAGGCCAGGGAGGACTGCGCAGCTCGCGGCCTCTGGACATGCCGGCCTGGAGCCGGGGGCCGCTCCTGGGAGTCCTCCCCACCTGGCGCCCCTCGGCCGCTGCCTGTGACGCCAGGCCCTGGCTGCGGCTCCGGAACGCGGACCCGGGTCTCCGCCTCCGCCCCACGATCGCCCAGGAGCGCTCCTCCGCGGGGTCCACCTCAGCCCCACAGGGACCCATGGTGAGCCGTGTCCACCGCCCCGTGCTTCCAACCCAGTGGGCGGGAGAGGGGCGTCCCCGCCCCGGGTGTGACGAGTCCCGGGCAGGGGCGGGGGCCGCCGGGCAGAGCTGAAAATGGTCTCTAACAGTTAGAAACCGTTTGAGCCGGGTGTCGGGTCACAGCCGCTCTGGACACCAGTCTGACAGACAGTTCCTCAGAAATAAAGGGTAGCTTTACCACATGACCCAGCAGCCCACTCGGGGGGCACTCCCCAGAGAACTGACCCTCGGGCACCCACAAACACAGCCGAATGGTTCCCTGAGGCCTAAAGGGGGCGCGACCCAAGGGACCGGTGAGTACAAGACACTGTGGTGTCCTCACCTGGTGGAATATTACTCAGCATTGAAAAGGAGTGAAGGTCTGACACACCCAGCACCTCGGGCCTTGAGAATGTCCTGCTAGTGAAGAAGGCGGGCGGAGGACAAAGCTGCCGATCCCCTGAGATCGGGTCCCGGAGCCGACCAAGTCCACAGAGACGGGAAGTAGCCTGGCGGGTGCCCTGCTGGGGGGGGGGGGACTGGGCTAATGTTACGGGGACAGGGAGATGGGTGGGGGGACACTGCACCCACGGCACGGCTTCGAGCCACTACTGGGGACTGAAAGCGGCGGACAGGGTGAGCTTTATGTTGTGTCTGTCTTGCCACCAAAAACATCGTTCTCGGTGTGTATTTCAAACATACCCCAAGTGAGGTGGCGAGAGGCACAGGTGACATGATCCTGAAGCCACGTAACGTCTCCCAGGTGGAGAAGGGGCCTCCAGAGCCCTGGTGCCCCCAGCCCCCAGCCCCAGGGAGAGCCCTGGCCTCAGGAGGAGCGCTCCGCTGCCGTCACCCGGCGTCTGGTTGACAGGCGCTTCCCGCCTGGGGCCTGTGTGCGCCTGGGCTGGCGTCCGCGGGCACAGGCGGGTGCGGATGGCACACGCAGCCTGCGCCCGGGACAGGCGCAGCACCAGTGGACACCCACCCTCCTGCCGCCGGGCGCCAGGCTCTGTGCTGGGGCGTCATGGCGGGGCGGCCACACCAGGTCCCCCTGGGTTTCCGTGCACTCGGGGCCTGGGAAGGGGCTGCTGCCCGAGTAGGCGGGGTCCACCGAGTCCTTCCCACAGTGTGCAAACTGATGGCACCGCTACGTCCCCACCACAGGGCCTGGCGCTCCGTCCCCTGCGTCCGCCGGGAGTGGGCGCCTCGGGGCTTTTAGGAGCACTTCAGAGATTCCTCGTGCTCTTTTCTGGGCACAGGGAGGTGACCGTCTGCTGTCCTGTGGTGGCCTTTCCAGCCTCCTTTTGACATTTCTATTTTCCAAATCGTATTCCCCACATTCTCCGGGGAAGGAGTCAGGTAAGACGGCCAGCCCTGGCCCGAGAGACATCAGGCGTGAGCGCAAGACACTGGGCTGCGGGCACAAAGGCCTCTCACGACCTTCTTTGCCTGTGAAGTCCTGTCTGCGGGACTTGGCGGGTGGTGGCCGCGGGGGCGGGGTGGTTCGGGCAGCAGCTCCGCCCAGGGAGGGGCCCAGAGAAGCCTCGAAGCCGCCGCGCCGCTGTCCATGGTGCTGAAGTGCCCGGCGGCCAGGCGGCCCCAGCTCCCCTGGGCCTTGGGGCTCTCCGTGTCCCCTCAGTGGACCTGTGTGACGCTCCCCACTGATGCCCTGGCTCTCGTCTGGGCCCACTGTGTCCTACCCTCCAATTCATACGCTGAAGTCCCACCTCCTGAGCCTGCAGCGTGACCTCATTTGGGACGAGGGGTCTTACCGACGTCACCAGCTGGAATGAGGTCGCTAGAGGGGCCCTAGTCCTGTGACTGGTGTCTCCACGAAGACACCCAGGGCAGCTCCACGGGGGCGCGGCCGAACGGAGGGGCCACAGGGGGCACCGGAGGGACTCATCGGCCACGAGGAGAGGGCAGGATGGACTCCCCAGGGCCCAGGAGGGGCCAGCTCTGCCCACACGTGGTGCCCGGCTCCGGCCTCCAGCACTGGACGGGACGGCCCTGGCGTTCACGCCCCCAGTGCACGGCTGGCGGTGACTGCAGCCCGGGAGGTGACACAGAGGCGGACAAGTCCTTCTTATTTCCTTCCAGTGCCGGGGACACCACCGTCCTGTGAGGGGAGTCCCCTGCCCCAGCCACCCCCACCAACACCACTAAGGGCTGAGGCTCGGTGCCCGCTCACCCCGTCGCCCGGCAGCTCAGAAAGCAACTGCGAGTACCGTCCCCCTTCACAGAGGCCAGCCGGGGACACAGGGGACACCCCCTGCCTGGGGTCACACGGGTGGTAAGGGGGACATCCAGGATTAAACCCAGGCAGCTAGCTCCGTGGGCTCTGGGCTGACCGCTGGGCACCTGGCTGGAGTCCGCATCTTCCCCAAATGTTCCCAGGACGTGATGGAGAGTGGCGGTCCCCTTCCCTGAGGGGACCTTAAGGCTCCAGGAGGTCAGGGCTGGGCCATGGCTGGCAGACCCTGGGGTCCCCGGGGGTGGAGCAGACGGGAGCAAGCAGACAGGGGCAGCCCCCGTGAGGACTTCCTGACACCCATGTTCCCCACCCCCCGTGGCCCCAGGGGGACAAGGACACTTCCCTGCTGGGATGCTGAGGCCCCGCACACGGAGACCCTCTTCCCTTTGACCCAAGGTTGGAACTTGCAGAGTCTCTCGGCTCAACGTTTCCCTGACCAGGGTGACGACCCACAGGGGTGGGTGGCCGGCGCCAGGGGATGCGCCACCGTGCCTACCCTCACCAACTTCACAGCCGAGGAGACCACCGCCCCCAGGTCACACGGCCAGGGGGCCGGGGATGGGATCTGGGCTGGGAGGTCCGGCCCAGCCGGTGTCCCCTCCGCCGCAGAATTGTCCCTGTTGTAGACCACAGAACAGCGACCGCAGGGAGGCCGAGCCCTGGACGGGCGGCCACGGCGGGCACGAGCTGAGCCCCTCTTCCTGCAGGGACTCTGAGGGCGGGGGTTCTGCACCCTGTGGGGAACCGAGGCTCAGGGAGGCCCATGACGCTGGACAGCCCAGGGGGTCAAGGGGACCTGGCACCTGAGCCCAGGGGGTTCTGACGGCTGCCCAGCTCCTGTCCACGCACCCGGGGCCGCCGTCCCACTGCTGGAGGGGCCGGCGCTGCCATCGTCCCCAAAATTCACCCCAGAGCTTGACCATTTTAAGACAAAGGTGGCCTTAGAGCATCTAAGGAAAGACCGGGAGGACCACCACGGCCCCTGGACACCAGAGCTGGGCTCCTAGGTAAAGTGAGCCCGGGGTCATCCAGGCTCCCGGGCTCTGCCCCCGGGGAGGCTGGGCAAGGCAGCCCTGGGGCCTTCGGTGGCCTTACAGAGGGGACACTGAGACGCAGAGTGGCCCAGGTCACACACAGGGAGGGGCCGCAGCTCAGTCCCTGCCTGGCCCCTGCTCAGGAGGACAGCCCTGTGTCCAGGTGTCTGTGAGGGGCGGAGGTGGCTGTGGGTCCTCTTGTTCCTACTCAGCAAGGGGACAAGACCCAGGCTGCTGGGCGATGCCAAGAGCCCCAGGCTTGGGCGAGGGGAGACCGGGCACCTCCCGTGTGTGTGTGTGTGTGTGTGTCAGCCTGGGCAGAGGGAGGGACATGGGGCTGGGGGAGCCGGAGGGTGCGGGGGTGGCCGTGCTGGACAGGGCCTTTCCTGGAGGTCAGCAGGACTTGGATCGGCCGCCGTGGTGCAGACTGCGGGGCGCCGGGGGCCAAGGAAGGGAGAGCCCAGTCGGGGTGTGCGGGAAGGGCCTCCTGGCTCCCGGCCTGGGGTGCAGACGCCAAGGTCACCGTCAGGCAAACACAGCTGGGCCCAGAGGAAGGAACAGAAAGAGGGGTCCTTGAGGCAGGGCTTTGTGGGGGGGTGTGCCCTGAAGGTGTCCTGGTTGGGTGGCAGCGGCCATATTTGGAGAAAGAGTCTTTGCAGACTTTAAGGACCCTGCGATGAGATCAGATTGTCCTGGGTGACCAGCTGGGCTCCAAGTGCAGGGACAAGGCCCTGGGGAGGAGGCTGGAAGAGCCCCCAGCATGAGTGAGCCCTGGGTCCCCCCCAGCACCAG